TGCCCCTTTCATTGAATTAAATCTAAAACATTAATTAGTTATTACAAACAATTTCTGGATAAATTTTGGGAAAACGTTATTTTCATAAAAATTCCAATTAACTAATATAAATTTGCGAAAATTTTGTAAACCATATTTTCGTCAACAATTAGTAAATTCTTCATTGAAAAAATTTTAAACACGCTAAAAGGCAAGCGCATAAAAATGTTTGTAAATACATACATATACATACCTATGTAGATGCATTTATACATATGTATGCACTTATGCAAATAAACAAATGCTGCGCGCGGTTAAAATTGTTTCGTTATTTTTTTGTATAAAAATATGGTTCATGCTTTAATCAAAACCACAAAGTCAAACTTTATACAAAACTTAGAAAAATTCAACAAATTTTCGTCTAAATTTTGAACTTTTTAATCTGAGTTTTTAGAATGATGGATCGTAGAAAAGCAAGTGCAAGTTTTAAGCGGCTAAAAAATCGCGTAGATTTTTAATGATTTTTTGTTGCGGACGGCTTGTACTTTTTACCATATACATAAAAGCGAATTTCTTGTAGAATAAAATGCCCAGGACCGTTTGCAAACAAAATAATAAAACAAAAAATAAATACTATATTTTATAAATTACACCTGTTATATGCATAAAACCGCAAAATACGTCGGAAAGAAATTCATTAAAAAGTAAAGCGATCTTTTATCCGCTTAAAACTTTCACTTGTTTCACTAAAATTACATACATAACCAATTATCTGCGTACCCAAAACTTTCTAAAAACTTAGACTAAAAAGTAGAAAATTTAGATGAAAATTTGTTGAATTTTTCTACGTTCTGTATAAATTTTTAAAGTTTGACTTATGTGGTTTCGATTAAAGCATGAACCATATTTTTATAAAAATATAACAAACAAATTTTTACTTGAAAAACATTGTAAATATTATACAAAAAAGAACCATGCAATCACTTTTGATTGCCCGTGTATGTACGTATGTGTGTCTAACAAATTATGGCTTGTTATCAAAATACCGATATTAACTAACAAACTTAATATTATATAGTACAAATGTGTTTGTAAAATTAATTTCATTAAAATTATTTCTGCAATCAAATTTTCTATTCATGCAAAAAGCCAAATGCATAAATTTGTACGTACATATATGCCTTTGTAAATATGTAGGTATGTAATGTATGTATGTAACATATATATGTACATACAAATGTACGATTGGTCGGCTTTCGTCTTCCCCTCGCCGCTCCCATCAACACACAAATTATTCAATTTCTGCGAATCGGCACCAGATTGGCACGTGCGCGAAACCATTAACCCCATGTTTGCCAAATATTTAGATTTTCGCATAAGTTTGCATTTAATAAAGCAATACTCGTACATTTTGTATGGTGAATAATATTAATTAATTTAAAATTCTGCATGTAACCATGTTCTCGACGATACATGTAACTTTCATAAAGATTAAACATAAAAATTGTGCTTCATTAACAGTTGCAACCAGCTGAAAGCAAAAAAACTATGTCCGCTAAAAGGGTTAAAAACCAATGAATGAATAAAGAAATGACAGCCAATGGATAGTTGTCATTCGACGCAATCGCAGAGAACGTTTAAAACAGAGAAGCAGCAACACGCTACTCGTTGGTATTTTGTAATAGATCAGAAATCGGCTAGAAGCTCACCACGTTAAATTTTTAACATCGATAGCTCTAGAAGCTCACCATTTTTTAACAGCGTGAGCGCAGAGCGGCGCAAAATAACAGAATTTGAATAAATTAGCAATTGTGAAATGTTATTTTTGTGCACGTTTATATCTATCAACAAAAATGACTTTTGATAGTTATTTTAATGCCCCTTTCATTGAATTAAAAATCGAAAACCTTTTTTTAATTATTACAAAAAATTTCTGGATAAATTTTGGGAAAACGTTATTTTCATAAAAATTCCAATTAACTAATATAAATTTGCGAAAATTTTCTAAACCATATTTTCGTCAACAATTAGTAAATTCTTCATTAAAAAAATTTTAAACACGCTAAAAGGCAAGCGCATAAAAATGTTTGTAAATACATATACATAGTACCTATGTACATAGATGCATTTATATGTATGCACATATGCAAATAAACAAATACTGCGCGCGGTTAAAATTTTTTCATTATTTTTTTGTATAAAAATATGGTTCATGCTTTAATAAAAACCACAAAGTCAAACTTTATACAAAACTTAGAAAAATTCAACAAATTTTCGTCTAAATTTTGAACTTTTTAATCTGAGTTTTTAGAATGATAGATCGGTAGAAAGCAAGTGCAAGTCTTAAGCGGCTAAAAAATCGCGTAGATTTTTAATGATTTTTTATTGCGGACGGCTTGTACTTTTTACCATATACATAAAAGCGAATTTCTTGTAGAATAAAATGCGCAAGACCGTTTGCAAACAAAATAAAAAAATAAACACTATATTTTATAAATTACACCTGTTATATGCATAAAACCGCAAAACCGTCGGAAAAAATTCATTAAAAATTAACGCGATTTTTTATCCGCTTAAAACTTTCACTTGTTTCACTAGAATTACATATATAACCATCTATCAACGTACCCAAAAGTAGAAAATTTAGATGAAAATTTGTTGAATTTTTCTACGTTCTGTATAAATTTTTAAAGTTTGACTTATGTGGTTTCGATTAAAGCATGAACCATATTTTTATAAAAATATAACAAAAAAATTTTTACTTGAAAAACATTGTAAATATTATACAAAAAAGAACCATGCAATCACTTTTGATTGACCGTGTATGTACGTATGTGTGTCTAACAAATTATGGCTTGTTATCAAAATACCGATATTAACTAACAAACTTAATATTATATAGTACAAATGTGTTTGTAAAATTAATTTCATTAAAATTATTTCTGCAATCAAATTTTCTATTCATGCAAAAAGCCAAACGCATAAATTTGTACGTACATATATACACATGCCTTTGTAAATATGTAGGTATGTAATGTATGTATGTAACATATATATGTACATACAAATGTACGATTGGTCGGCTTTCGTCTTCCCCTCGCCGCTCCCATCAACACACAAATTATTCAATTTCTGCGAATCGGCACCAGATTGGCACGTGCGCGAAACCATTAACCCCGAGTTTGCGAAATATTTAGATTTTCGCATAAGTTTGCATTTAATAAAGCAATACTCGTACATTTTGTATGGTGAATAATATTAATTAATTTAAAATTCTGCATGTAACCATGTTCTCGACGATACATGTAACTTTCATAAAGATTAAACATAAAAATTGTGCTTCGTTAACAGTTGCAACCAGCTGAAACCAAGAAAACTATGTCCGCTAAAAGGGTTAAAGACCAACTGGATTTGACATTTTTTACACGCATACATGCATACATTCATATACACATGTACAGTGGAGTAGCACTAGGTTGAACATTGCATTGCTTCTACTTTGATGTGTTTGAATCTTTTATGGTACTGAAGATTTGCTTAGGGATGAAAAATATTAAAAATCGTTCGTGCATATATGTAAATATATTTTTATAAACGCATGGAAGTATAGAAATTTTTAATATTAAAAAATAAATAAAATAATTTTTTTGTATATATATAAATTTTGTTCAAGGCACATTGACCCACCTGTACAAAAATTGTGGCGCGGCATGGACAAAAATTTTACAATTTCGGACCGAAAAATATGAAAACGAGCTAAGTTGCCACGTTACATCTGTGAACTTCCGATAAAACCACATATGTTTGTGATTTTACAAGTTTTGATTTTATTAAAAAAAAATTAATGTATTTTGCTGCAGAAAACATACACTTTTATTTAATGTTTATTAAAATGACACTTTAAAATACTAGTTAATGATTGAAATATTGGTATGGAACAGAGAAATAGAGTGTTTTGTCAAAAATTACCAAAAATTACCAAAAATTGCCAAGATTCGAGATAACTTATTTTACTGGTTATAGAGAAATAGTTGCCAGTTTTCACTTGGCTGGCCGAGATTTCTTCATTTTAAGATTTTAGAATTTTTGTGTCGGATTGACAAAGTTGCGCTTGTTGGTGATGAATTTGCGGGGAGATGTGTGTGGTTGTTTTTATGAATGAATTTACTTGGCCTTGAGAAATATGCAAATGCGTTTATGAATGAAATAGTTATTGTTGTATTTGAGTATACGTGTAATTATGTGCATATATATGTATGTATGCTGCCGTGATTTGTACATATGTACATTTATATGCATGTTCGTAGTTTTTTTTGGCAGTAATATGCACATACATATATATGCATGCAAAAACGTTATCAATTAATGGAGCATGTACATATGTACGTATGCGTAGAAAATGCATTTTCATTTGACTCCAAAACTATTGGGGCATATTAGTAGACGAAATAAAGTCGACTCTTAAGTTAAAGTTTGTCAGCCCCAAATAAGAAGAAAGTTAGTATGTATGTACATACATATATGTAATATTATGTGCATGTGCAAGAACGTTATCAATAAATGATTTTGGAGTATGTGTATTGGGTACATATGTACATATGTAC